CGGCGCCTGCTCTGCTCCAAATGGACTCCGAATGTGCCGAACATTTGATGTCCATAGAGCCCTGCAGGCTGAGCTCCCAATCGTTCCAGCTTCGAAGTCACTCCGTACTGGCGTCCAGCCCCAGCGAAACGTCGAACGCGAACGTGCATCAAACGGTGCTTGTCTGCTCGGTTCCGTCTCGTGGCCCGCGCGCGGAGGAGGGGGGGAGGAGGATGAGAACGGGGAGGAGGAGGAGGAGGAGGAGGAGGAGGAGGAGGAGGAGGAGGAGGAGGAGGAGGAGGAGGAGGAGGAGGAGGAGGAGGAGGAGGAGGAAGACGGGTCGCCTAAGCCCTTCGGAGAAACCCTCCACATCACCCCGCGGGAGGCCGGAACGCCCGCGCGCCGACTTCCATCGCCGAGCTCATTGGTCGCAGTGGCCGGCTGAGCCATGCGACGCGGTCGGCCTGCGCGCCGCGCCCCTGCGACGTCCTCAACTGGCCCCGAGCGGAACCTTTCCAGGCAAGAACGAAAAGCGCCGCTTTTCTGGTGGCGGAGCTCGTTGGGCGCGCGCGGAGGACAGCGCGCAGGACGTCGAGGACAACGCAAAGGAGCAGGATGGCATGGAGCAAGGGGAGTTGAGACGACGAGCGCGAGAGATAAGAAATGATCAGCAGAAGGAGAATGTTCAGCATGAGGAAGACGAGGATGGTGACCATGAGGACCACGAAGACGACGTTGATGACGATGATGACGACGACGACGGCGACGGCGACGACGACGTGGGAGACGATGGGCGTCTGCTGACGACGCTGGCCTTCCTCGGTGTCCTTTTGGGGTTCTCTCGGGCCTTCCTGGGGCCCTGTAGGGCCGACGTGGGGGGCCCAGGCCGTCTCGGCCCTTTCGGGGCTCTCCGGAACCCTCACCTACACGCGCGCTATCGGTTCATTGTGCTGGCCCCCCGCTCGACTTCAGAATGGGGCGTTGCCGTGCTGGACTGTCGAGTGAGTCTGCCGTCCTGTGCAAATGATGGACCTCGTGAGGCCCTCTTGGGGGCCTTGTTGCCGTTGGAAGCTTCTTGGAAGCTTCTTTGACCCTCTTGGGCTGTCCAGCCGTGTCTCGAGGGTCTGTAGGGTCTCTCTTGGCCTGTGTGGGCGTTCTCTTTGACTGTCTTGGGGCTCTCTTGGCCAGTCTCGGGGCCTCTTCGGGCGCTCTGGGGGCCCCCTGGGAGCCTCTTGGGGGCCTCTTGCGGGTCTCCTGGGCCGCTTTGGGGCTCCGCAGGGGGCCTTCGGAGGCTGTCTCTTGGCGTGTTGAGGCCCTCCGGGAGCGATTCCAAAATAATGCAGATTCGGACGGGGTCCCCTCCAGGGACGATTGTTTGAAGATGTCTCGAGCGAAATTGCTAGTTTTCCAGAGTCCGCCAGCGAGGTGCGGGATGCGCCTCGCGCCCTTCGATCCGAAAACATTGGGCCCCAGAACCAGCCGCGCACGCTCGAGGCTCTTCCCGCCATCCGCCGCCGCGCCGTCTGCCGCGAAGTGGAATGCCCCAAGGCTCACGCAGCCGTGAAGAGTCACTGCGCCGACCTTGCAGACGTGCTGCAGCAGATTTTTGCGCGGATTTCTGCCGATGCAAAACCCCGAAGAGGCGCATGAAAACGCAATGAATTCCGCATGGTTCGTTGATCCTTCATTCCTGACCAAAAAGAATCCGCGCGAAATTCACCTCCAAATCTGGAGCGAGATTCTCCGAGACACTCCGGGCCCATCCTATGGTTTTCCAAACGAAATTCGCTCTGGGATGTTGGCGCCATGCTGAGAGGTTAAGAAGAAAACATCTTTTTCACGGGCCCCGGATCCACGGTTTCCGCCGGGCGCTCCCGGAATGTTTCGCGAGGGCCTCCGGGACGGCCCCCTCGCTCAGGATGGCCCCAAAACGGGTCGCGAAAGCCCGGGGAGACCGCCCCGACGGTCCAGTTGGGCACAGAATCGCCGAAACATCGCTCCAATACTCTTCTGCCCTCCAGCAACCCAAGAGGCCTCGAAAACGCTCCAACAGGCCTTCAGGAGCACTCCCGAAGAGGGCCCCGAGTTGAACAACCACTGAGTTGCCATAGTTTTTGTTGACTGATTTTGGCGTTCTCGCTTTTTCGGCTCGCCCGGCGCCCCAAGACGGCCCAAGTGGCCACCGCCCCGAGATCGCCCCAAGACAGCCGAGGAGGCCTCCAAGCGTCTTGAAGGACGTCTTGCGGTAACTGTGGATACTACCTTGGCGGCGTTCACGGCCTGCCCAAACGTTGAGAACTGAATTAACCAAAACTGGCCAATCTTCAGACGTTCATCGACTTTCTCACAACAGTAGCGGCAGAAAGGTAAGAATGGACCCCCCCCCGACTACGCAGCGGCTCGTCTTGCCGGAAACGCTGGCGACTGACGTGGGAGCCGGCCGCGCCCCGCCGGATGGCGCCTGGGACGCGCTCCTTGCTGCGAGCCAGGCCAGGGGAAATCCCGACGCGCAGCCCGCCACCCAGCTGGCGCTGCCAACGCCCATTCCGGCGCTGCCGCATGGCTCAGGGCCATGTCGTCACCGCCACATCGGCGCTCGATTCGGATTTTTAGCAAAGCACCCAACTTTTTTGCTCGATGGGGGCCAAACGCACGACCAACCCACAATGGCAGCATAAGCCTCGAAGATGAAGGGCGGCCCCAAAATATCGGCGCGGACGAGCATCATTCCTGCTGTTCGGAAGTGCCACTCGAGCCACATGTTTTACTCCGGCGCCCGAACACGCGCATGAAGACGCAACGCCGGAGTGGCATGTGCGTTGTGGTTAATGGCGGGGCGGTGTCCCGCAGTGTCTGGCTTCCTGCACGTTGATAAAACACACGCGTAATCTAGTTGAGGAAACCGGCGTCCTCTGCAGGTTGCACGCGCGCCCTTTTGCGCCCTCAAGGAACTCGCGATTCCCATTCCCGCGGGGACTCGCGGGATCAACAGTCACGCCGGCCCGAAGGCAATGCGACGATGGTGACGGCCATCGCCGCCAATATTGCGCGCCATGGTTTTACACCAACACCAATGTGGGCCTGCAACAAAAAATCCTCATCATCCTTGCTGCTGCTGCTCCTCCTCCCTCCCCTCCTTCCTCGCCTGTCCTGCCTCCGCCGCACCCGCCCCCCCGCCGCCCCCGGGAACCGTCGGCAAGGCGAAGGGGGGGAGGGAGGGGGGGAAGGGGGCGGGGGGGGGGAGCGGAGGGGGGCGAGAAGGAAAGGATATGGCGGGGTATCAACACACTTCGCACGCCGTGGACGGGGGGACGCTGCGCGCAAAGCCATGCTGAACGATCACAACTCGCACCGACTATGGATCGCAAGGCATGCCCTGCATGACACAGAAGCGTGAACATCAAAAGTATCTGTCGGCGCCGCCGCTGATTTTTTTTCGAGCGGCCGCAACTGACCCCGCCAGTTGTGTCTCTGGGAAAACGACCCCGCGGCCAGGTCGAGCGTGCCGCGGGGGGCGCCGTGGGTTTCTAAGTGGGACCAATTGCGCGCTGCCGCGCGCAATCGCCTAGTGTCGGCAGGCGCTGGGCTCCTGGAAGTAAGCACGTGCGCTGCAAAGAGACGGCCCCGAGGTGAGTTTACCTTTCGCCGCGAACTGGCGAGCAAATGCTACTCATCACACTTGAGACACCAATGCACGAAGGCAAGAGCGGAAAGGGGCAGCAGAAAATGAACGACGAAAGGGGGCGGGGATGGGGCAGTGCAGGGAGGGGGCAAGGAGGTGGGAAACGCGAGCAGAAACAGGGGGGAGGAGGATTGGATTGAACTCGGAATCGCTGTTGGATTCGGCAGTGTGGCAATGAAACATTTTGGGGCCTATCTTGGCATACGGGGACACCGCTGGGGCGGGCAAATCCCGCCCCTTCCCTTCGCTCTGCGCGCAGTTACGGCGTCCAGGCTGTTACCCTTCGACCGCACCAGGGGAAACGAAACCGCAGGCGGCCCCGGGACATGATCACGCCGATGGAGATCGTGCACATACTGGTCGTGCCATAGCGGATCGCAAGGAAAACGATCGCGCCTCAGGGGGCGCATCGCAAGTGACTTTACCGAAGGCGGTCGGGCCGAGGGGGGTCCTGCTACCACAGAGTGTGCCAAAACATCGCACCAACGAGACAAATCATCGTTTTCATTGTGGGGGATCAGAAGAAAAACCAGTGTCTTTTCCGATGGGGGCCAGAAGAAAAATCATCCTTGCGATTATTCGGGACCTGCCTAAAATCATAGTTTTTATTATTGTGGTTTCCGATTTCCATTACAGGCCGGTCGTTGTAACAGTTACTTAGCTGAAGCAACAACCACATAAAGACAAACTCTTGGAAGTCCGCGCGGGGTTCCTGGATCGGCGCTGGGCCCCCCTCCCCGGCGAGCGGAACGCGCCAGGGGCGGCGCCTGGGGCGGCGCTTGGGGGGCCCAGCGCCGATCCAACAAACCCGCGCGGTTCTCCACAAGTTTACGTTTATGTCGTTTTCGGCTCTTCGATGATGGCACCAGAAGTGGCTGCACCGAAGGCGGCCGCGGCGGGGGGGGCCGCGGTTTGGCTGTGCGGCGCATGCCGGCGAATCAACTGCGATGAGTAGCGTTGCCAGGAGCCGCGTGCCAGGCACCCTCGACGATGTCCTCACTGCAGCACGGCGGGGCCGGCCCCATCCCCTTCATGAGGAACGGCCACCTCGCGCAGTGCAGGACAAACGCGCTGGCAACGCGCGGGCCCCCGTGAAAACGAGCGCCTTCCGCGGCCCCCGCGGCGGCGAGGCCCCAGAGGGGAGGAGAGGCAAGGAGGAAGGATCATCACTTTTCATTATGGGGGCCCCAAAGGAATATCATCGATTTTACATTGGGGGGGGGCACAATAAAAAACGCAGTTTTTATTGTGGGGGCCAGAAGTAAAATCGTCGTTTTGATTAGTGTTTTCTAGTGTAGGGTGGGGACAGGAGAGGGGTCTCTGACACCGCGCGGGCACCTCAGGCGCCCTCCTGCTTCTTCAAGAAGACGCTGGCCACCCGAGCTATCTTGGCACGCCTCTCGGCGCCTGTCGAGCTCGCGCTCCCCTCGGACATGGGCCCGGCCGGCACCACGCTGAGCATCTCCTTCGGGTGCATCCGCGGGGCGTCGACGACGCCGAGGGACTCCACGACCTGCATGGTGGCCGCGTCCACCACGCCAGCCGCCGACTGCTCCCGAAGCAGCGTCGTCGCCTCCTCGGTGATCCTCAGCCTGAGCTTCTGGTCGTCCTCGTCCAACACGTAGTTCAGCACCTTCAGCGGCATGGTGTCGTTCACGCTGATGTTGTCGCCCTGCGCCACCTTCTGCTGCAAGGCGCCGAGCAGGTGCTTCAGCGCCTTCGCCCCAGTGAGCGTCACAGTCATGCCGTTCGCGTCGTTCGTGACCTCCTTGTGGTACAGATGGCTGATGCGCTCGAGGGCCTCTCGCTTCTTGGCGGCGTCGGCGATGTTCACGGTCTCCGGCGTGATGCGCTCGTCCTTCACGTACTGCTGGATGGCATCGATGATCGTCTTCACCTCGGATTTCGGCGCCCTCCCACAGAAGCCAGCCACGCGGCTCTCGTGGAAATCACGCAGGGAGGCGAGGATGGCCGGGGCATCGTTCGGGTAAGCCGGGTGCGGGAGCTTCGTTTTCGTGATGAGCCACATGGAATCGGCGCCGGCCTGCCCCGCAAACTTGCGCAACCACGCGACGTCGCACATCCCACTCGGGTCGTGGGTGAGCCACCGGCTGCTCCGAGACAGGAGGAACCGGATGACGGCTGCTCCGTCCAGCGTCGGCGACAGGCTCTCCGCGAGCTCGTTCATGATGCCGCGCGACGTGTTGTACCCGGCGAGCTCGGTCTCGCCCACGGTGGAGCCGTCGTCCTCGCGCCCCTGCGCGACGAGGCCGGCCTCGAGCCACAGCGCCACCAAGCCCTTGCCCCAGCTGCGGTTCTTCTTCCCGCAGTGGAGCGCCAACTCCACCTCCTGCCCGAAAGTCGTCACGGCCATCTGGATGTCCTGGCCCGCGAGCACCAAGTCCACCTTGCGCTCCGGGACCTCCCCCAAGAAAGCGTTCACGCGTTTTGCCTCCGTCCAAATTTGCGTGTCTCAACGAAGAACCCTGCCGGCGCACGCTCGCCAGAGGTCCCTGGGGATCTTGGATCAATTGCGGTCGTCCCCGGGCGCTTCCGGGGAAGCCTGGGTCTGTCCAAGGAAGTCCATGGGTACCCCTGGCAGGTGCCTCACCAGACCTCCGTAGACCTCTGGAGACCCGAGCGAAACGATCCAGCACGACCTCCGCAGGTCTCCGGAGGTCCCCGGAAACCTCTGGAGACCTCCGTGAGCCTTCACAGACCTCCGGTGACCTCCGAAGACCTCCAGAGACCCCGGTGCCCGGCACGATCGCCGGAGACTCCAGCCAGAACGTCGGGCAGACCTCCGGCACGACCCCCCTGCCGCAGACCTCCGGAGACCTCCGGAGACCCCCGGATTGCGCGGTTCCCCAGGCATGGGGCGCTAGGGCAGGGGTCGAGATGTCCGCGGCCAGGCGACTCGAAAACCGGACCTGCGGCGGGCCTGAAGGCCCTGCAGGGTGCCCGGAAGACGGTTCGCGCACGGGGGCGGCGCGGAGGGGCGGCGAGGCCCCGGAGACGAGGGAGGGGGACTGAAAACAAAAATCAAAGTTACAAGTATGGAAAATCTGGGTTTCGGTCGGACGTGAAAACCTCGTAACAGTGGGAGGAGGCCGAAGACCAGGACGAGGCCCTGCGAACGACGGGTTCTGCGCAGGTGACACCGGGCGCCTCCTGCAGGCACGCCTCCCGCGCCCTCTCCACGACCGCCTTCGTGACGCGGTGGCCGTCCCACGTCTTCACCTCCTGCCTCACGAACGCCGAGAGGTGCGCGACGACGACGTCGTTCTTCGTGGCCTTGAAAGCCTGCTCTGCCGTCTTGCACTGGCCGGAGAGCAAGACCGCGTGCCCGATATGCCTGGCCATGTCCGTCTGCTCGTCGATGATCGCCCACGCCATGTCCATGTCCATGAGCAGGCCGAGGCGGGAGCCCTCCGCCTGGAAGAAGCTCCGGAGGCCGCGCTTGTCGCGCTTCGACATGCCGAGCAGCTGCAGGAGAACCAAGTCGAAAATGTCCATCATGTCAATGAAGCTCTCCAAGTACGCGGTGGTCCGGAGCCCCGCCCGGTTCACCAGGTCCATCACCTTCAGCGTAGCCTCTTTGTCCAGGGTCACCGTCAACGGGGTCAAGCCCCTCACGAACTTGGCGAGCTCCGCGAAAGTGGCCGGGTTCACGGTCTGCACGGTGTCGAACCACGTGAACAGCACGTTGGAGCTCCTCTTGCCCGTCGACGCCCCGTACGACTCGATGCCCTTCAAGAGCTCTGGATCCACGGTGGCCTCTGGGTGAAAAAGAGGGGCGGGCATGCCGCCGCCCCGCGGGGGCGGCGCCGCAAAGGGCCCCCCCCGGGCCGCCGGCCTGCCGCACCCCCCCTCCACACCCAAAGACACGGAGCAGCACCCGAATCTGGACGATTGCACTCGCGCAGCCCCGGCCGGGCAGCCTGCGGCCCAGCACCCTCGATCTTCTCCGGGTTCAGGTACAAGCTTTTCAAGGTAGGCCAGTACCCCGGCCCGTGCTTCTTCTTCCCCTCGCTCTCCCGCTGCGCCCAATCGTCACACACCTCCACGCGGCAGGTAGAGTGTCCCGATCCCCCTCGGCCGTGTCCCCGCCGAGCCCTGGCTCCGCCGCGGCCCCCATCGGCGGGGGCGCGGACGGGGCCGCGGCCAAGGGGGACGGGGCGCCGTCTGGGGGAAAAATGGCACGGGCAAGGGCAATATCGGGGTGTGAGTGAGACGGAGGCCGAGAGGGGGACAACGGCATGCCGGCCGGCCCCAAGGATGAACGCCTCTCGACCCGCTGCCCGCCGCCAGTTTGACACCCACTGGGGGGACAGAGTGCGATGTTATGCGGGGCGTGCACCCGCTGCCACAAGTTCTTGCCCTGCCGCACGACCCCGTAGAGCACGTCGTCCTCGATCTTGCCAAAGTGGGCCTTGATCGCGGCGAGCTTGCCGGCGTCGCCGGCGTTCCTCCCGACCTGAGAGCGCGCCCTCGCCGAGGAGCGCGAAGACTTGCCGAACTCGGCCTGCTCGGCCCGCTCGAACAAGCTCCGCTTGACCGGCGTGGTGCCTGCAGGGCCGGGCTGCGCCTTCGCCGGCGTCGACAGCATGGCCTCGCCTGCCGCCTGCTGCTCCTGAGGCGTCAGCAAAGTCTGGCTTCGGGCCAAAATGGCTTGAGCCTTCGTGGATACGGAATGGGCCGGAGAGGGGCCGCGTGGTGCACACAGGGCATGGTGCGCACTGGGAAGGGCAGGTGGTGCACACTGGGGAGGTGCACGCTGGTGGTGCACACCGGGCAAGTGCACGCTGGGAAGGCCAGGTGGTGCACACTCGGAAGGCTTGGTGGTGCACGCACGAGATGGTGCACACTGGTGGTGCACACTGACAAGACGGCCCCGGACCAATTGGTGCACACAGGGAAGTTCCATGCGACAAGTCACAGCGAACGCGCCAGCGTGCACCACCTTGGAGAGGCCCACTGTGCACCACTTGAGACCCCAAACGCTGGCCGATTTGGTATGCCAATTTGGTGGCCCACATCGCACCGACAGGCCAATGTACACCACGCGCAGAACCACTGGAGCTGGCCCCCAAGGCGTCCAGGCACAATTTGGAGACGAGGGAAGCAGGAGAGGACGCAGGAAAGGGAAAGTGTGGAAAGAAAAACGGGAAACGATTAGCGAGAGGGGAGCGGGCCGGGCGAGAGAGGAAGGGGGAAAGGGGGGACGAAGGGAAGAGAGAGGAGGAAAAAAGGGGCAGAGGGAGGGAAAGATAAGGAGGTCAGGCGAGAAGACATGGGGGAGGGAAAGACGAACAAGGCGCAAGCATGGGAGGCTGATCGGGGGAAACGGGATTGACTTGGAACGGCCCCAAAAGGAGGAGGGCACTGGGCGGGGGCTCCGAACAGGCGGGAGAGAACCCAGCCAGGAGGAACACAAGAGAGAAAGACAGCCAGGGGGAGGCCAGCCAGAAGCAGGGGGAGGGGCAACAGCCAAGATACGGGAGGCAAGGGGGGCGCAGGAAGGCAGGAGCCAGGAGGAGCCATGGGAGGAGGAAGGAAGCCGATAGGCGGAAGAGGCCAACGAGAAGAAGTGGCAGGGAGGAGAGAGGAAGGAGGAAGGAGCCTACAAGGGCGTACGTACCCTTGCGTGAATGCCTGGTGCCCCAGAGGCCCACGGTTTCCTTGGAATTCGCCCGGGGCCCCGGCACCAGCGGCCCCCCGGGGCCAATCGACGCCGGGGCCTCCCGCCGAGCAGGACTGAGCCACGCTCCCGGCCGCGCCCCGGCCCTTGCGGGCCTGGTTGCATCCCCTGGGACCCGGGACCCGCCCGGCCCGAGGAAAACAGGGGAAAAAATATGGTTCGCAGTGCGCCCAGATGTTTTTGTTTGTCTGGGGCTTCGTTTGCGTGTTCGTCTTTGCGTCTACCTGCTTGTTGTGTCTACTTGTTTGTGTGTCCGTTGTGTTTACCTGTTTTGTTTTTGTTGTTGTTTGTTTGTGTCTGCCTTTTTCGGTCGACCAGAGAAACGAAATTGGACGGCGCAGCACAACGAGCTACGTGATCCTCCGCACCTGCTCAATGCGCCCCCAATGGGGGGCCCCGTCGGCCAGTTGCCGGATGAGCTCGGTGAGAATGTCTGGGTCCTTGACGGCGCCCCCCTCATCGTGGTGCGAGGCCAGATCGTACCCCCGGAGAGCGTCGAACAGATACTGCATCTTGTAGCACCAGAACTGACAGAGAGCAATCGACTTCCATTCGCCGAACTGCCGCCATGAAGCGTCGAAGGTTCTAGTGCCTGCCCGATCCTGCAACCATTTTTTTGCCTCGGGCGTGCCTCCCTGCCCCCTGGCAAAGTCGATGGGCAGGCCGGTCTTTTCAAGGGCCGTCTTCCCCTTCCTCAAGATGACCACGAAGTCGGGGACCCGCGGCGCGAGAGCCACAACGTGCTCCAGCTGTTTGTCCATAGTGTACTTGAAAATGTCGTCCACCTTTGGCTCCACCCTGGCTGCAGCAGCACGCGGGGGTGCAGGAGCTGGCGGCCCCCCTTCGTCCTCGCTGCTCTCCCCGGCCTTCCGCGCCAGGTGCTCAATCAACCAAGGCCGCTTAACGAAGTCGTACGGGGTGATCCACTCTGGCAACGCATCATCAGTCTCCTCGGTGTCCCGCCGCAGGAGCGCAGGCATCTGAGCGAACCACTCTTCCAGGGGCATTTCCACGAAATCGCTGAAACATCTACCGTTCGAAGCGAATGTCAAGAAAGGTACGACAGAAATGTGGGAAGGATCCACTGCCTGGAAATCAATGTCACGACGGTATATAAATTGGCTGTTCCAAACGAAAGCATGAGATGTCAGTTCGCGCTGCTCTGCTTGCGCGCCCGTCGCCACCCTCTCGGGTGGCTCCTCCGGCAGACGCGTCATCTCGCAGAAGCTGGCGGTGTGAGGTCGCTGCCTGGCGTACGTGAATGCGAACCACCTGTCCGACGCTGGCGTGCGCACGTGCAAAGCCGTGCATCGCATGTGATCTCGATGCCGTGCCAACATCTTCCCCCAAGCAGGCGCGTCCTTGCATTGATCAGGGAACTGCGGTGGCGTCGGGACCCTCCGGTACTGATCCTTCAGGTCAGGCGGTAGAACAACGACTGGCGCCAGCGCTGCCTGTCGCAGAGATGCCACTTGCGAGGCCGTCGCCTCGCAACCTTCCCACATTAAGCATACGCTCTGCAACTCGTCGTCGGTGAGCCTGCAATCAGTTAAACGATGCATGATGCCCATGTCCCGCTGCTCGGCGCCCTTCCTGGCCAGGTGCAGGTTGAGCAGGCCCTCCCAAAGAGCCAAGTCGTCATCGATGTCTGCCCTCGCCTGTGCCTGCGCAACTACCGCCTTCTGATCTTAGTGCGCCCGCGTGCCTGCGTCAGCCATGCCCCACCAATGCCCGTGAGTTTTCATGACGGCAGTTTTTTCTTCCTGTGTCAGTTTCCGCCCAACCTCAGCGGTCTGCGCAAGGACTGCTGTCTTGAAAAACTCGCACCTGCCGTCGTCGTTCTCAGGCCGTCTCCTCCTGAGTTTGGCTATCTTGTCACGGAGCTTCACCTCGAACGCATCCTCCTCCGGGCGGAAGACGAGCGGGGCGATGGCGATCAAAAAACACCGCGCTGCCACCATCTCTTTGCCATAGCGGTTGTGAAACCGTTGCAGAGTAGTCAGAATAGCGCGCAGCTGTTCGGCACATACCGAAGTCCAGTTGAGACTTTGGATAAGAAGGAGGGCGCGCCGAACCTTCCCGCGCGGGTGGGCGTCTCGCTTCAGGAGGGTTTGGATTTTGTAGGCGACTTCAGAATCCATGATAACTGGCGCTTGTGCCAACTCATTCATGTTCTTGTCCAAATCCCCCACTGCCAATTTAAACGGGTAGCGTGTTGGGAGCCGAAGGAATCGATCGCACATGAAGCTGGCCGCCACGTGGGCGGACTCGAGACAGTCACTTCGAAGTTGTGGTACGCCCATGTTCCCGTCGCCGGTCAAGTGGAGCAGCCAACGCCAAACGTCTTCTGGGACTCAATTCAAAAAGCGAAGCTCGTCCGATATCCCAATGGCGATGTCACTAAACCTGAACAACAAACGGTCGTCAGCGAGAAGGGGACACAAAGCGGCATCACACGGCCAGCTTGCCATCGCAATCACTACAAGCCACAATTTCAGCTCGGGCGTTAGACGCCGGACACCATTCAAATAAACTGTCCCTTTCTTGCTGCGGAAAACTTTGTCGAACAATATTTCCAAACCTACTCCGACAGCAGCTAATATCCGCTGCGCGGTCCTCCCGCGGGTAGCCCAACGGGAATCTGAAAAGGCTGTCCACTGGAACGCGGCCATGACGAGGGTCGTCACCCGCTCCTGCCAGTTGGCGTCCTGAAGGACGCGCGGGTGGAGGTGCAGCCGGTTTCCAGCCACTCGAGGCGCAGCCCAAGTGAGCTCGTCGACGAGCTCTGGGTCGAGGCCGAGCGTCTTCCAGCGAGCCTGGACGTCGTTGTCCTCGGCGCCCAGATCATGAAACTCGACCTCGTTGAGCACTGACGGGATCCAAGATTTCAGGGCGGCACTGGAATTTTTAAGGCTGTGCACAACGATCCACAGTTCCTTGCTCATGGCCTTGGGGTCCGCCACGAACCGTTCCGTGGCCCAGCAGAGAGCCTCGTGCGCGTCGTGGGCGGCACACGGCGTGCCCACGTCCCACGCGAGCAAGTCCAGCAGATGGCGGGCGTCATCGTCCATGACGCTGGCATTGTCCACGACGTGTCGGGCCCTCATCCACTTCACCTGGGTGTCGTACTCGCCGCGATCCCAGCAGCAGTGGTTGACGACGATGCCCGTGGCTCCGCGCGACCGCAGTGTCTCCAGGAAGCCGCGCGCCTCGCTGAACAGCGTCCAGTGCTCCTTGCGAGGTCCCAGACTGACGCTATTACTAAAATGAACATGTGAGGGGGAGGCATTATGGCGAAGGCGGCGTGGCATGTTTTGCAACCGTTCCTCGACTGGGAATGCTGAAGGGTTTTTTTCGTGACTGCACTGCGGGGCAAAAAAAAAGCCCGCGTGCATCCCCCCTCCCGAGGCACCTGTGCTTGCACGCAGTGCCCCCCCCCCAGCGCCGTTCGGCCTGCCAGTGCACTTACGCGCGCAGTTTAAGGTCTCTTTCACACGATGCAACAATGACGCACGCCACTATTACTGTTTTGGTGTAGCTCCTTGTTTGGCAACACCACGGGGTCTCGCAGCAGGCAGCGCACGTGCCATCTGCCATCAGTATCCACAGTGCTGACGGTAGCCTTCATGACGCACCATTCGTTGCGTTCCTGAATCTCCCGACTGTACCTCTGGATTATATAATCAGCTTGCACTCCCACACCTCCCCCCCGCCCCTCCCCCCTTCCCCCCCTGCCCCCCCTTCCCGAGACCCCCGTCGTGCCCCCCTCCGCGCCGCCCCCGCCGCCTTGTCCATTCCCCCACCCTTTCCCCGTCACTGCCCTCCTCCTCCCCCCCCCCCCCCCCCTCCCCTTCAAGCCGCCCTGCCCTGCCGCCCGCTCGCCCCCCTGCTTTCCCGCCACTGCTTGCCGCCGCCCCTCCTGCACCCCTGCCCCACATGTCCCCGCCTGTGCCTTTTTCCATGTTCCACCCCCCACATACCCGCTTTCCCCCCTTTGTTCTACGATGCTCTGTGCACATATCCCGTGGCACGATGAACTATACATTGCACAGGGACCTGAAAACTGCGTTTGGCTTCTCGCGCCCGGCACCTCGCCAATCCAATGGTGCCGAACCATCTGACACGTTGCAACGAGGCAGTGGCATCTCCCTGGTAGCTCTGTCGCAGTGGCTGGTCGCTGTGTTCGGTGACGAAGGCTTGCAGTCTATCCTCCAATAACCTTTGAAAAATTCCGTTGCCTTGTCCAAGACCGGTCGAGTGGCCGAGCACGCAGACAAATAATCTTTCCTCAACCTGGTGACGAGATCGGTGAAAGACTCCATGGCGATTCAGGGAAGATTGCGCACGAACAGTCGACGACCTGAACGATATTGCTTGACAAAGCAAAAAACATAAACATAAATTTTCGGAGGCCCGCGCCGATTTTTTGCATCGGCGCTGGACCCCCTTGGCGGCGCCTCCGGCGCCGCCCCTGGCGCTCTCCACGCGCGAGGGAGGGGGTCCAGCGCCGATCCAAAAAATCCGCGCGGGCCTCCGAAAATTTACGTTCATGCGTTTTTCTGTCTCCTCGGCTTGCTAGAGCCAAAACAGCTGCGGAACGGAAAGGGGATGCAAGGAGGGAGGGAGGGAGGTGCTGGAGGATCGAAGTGGGGCAACGAATGCGCCCTTCCGAAGCGTGGAGACGAATGCTTGCACCCCTGCGACGTGTTTCCCGCCTCGAATACTACCTGGCTGCGCCCCCTGTCTTCGCGGGCCAAGCTCTGGCTGCCCAGCGCCCTGCCTCGAGTAGGCGGGTCTCCTCGGGAGGGCCCACGGACGAACCCGCCAGGCCGGCAAGGGGCAGGGAGACGGCGGGAAGCAGAGGGGGCAGAAAAGGAAAGGCATGGATCGGGGAGCGAGGAAGGAGACCAAGAGGAGGCGGACAAGGAAGGATGACGAGCAAGACGAAAAAGGATAGGGGAGGGGAGGAGGAGAGAAGATGATGATGATTTTATGGTTGGCTCAACGTAAGAAAATCAACATTGCCCTCGCTCGGCCGCGACTGGGGCCCATCGCAGCGCGCATGCTGCGCACCGACCGAAAGAAGGGCACGTGGCCCACGCAACAAAAGGCGGCGGGCCCGTCGCAAACAACCACCGCCGCGAAGCAGGAGAAAGGGCAACCGCGCACCTGCCCATATCTGTACAAAACGGGCAACGACAACAAACTCAAAAAAAGCATGAAAATTTGAAAGCGAAAACGACTGAAAACGAGTCCTCAGCGTGACTGCCGGCGCCTCCATAGCGAGGCCATGGCCATAATCCTCGGCGGGCCCGATGCCACTGACGCCTGCGCAAGCGGCGCTGCCCTGCGCTCAGGGGACACGACCGCCGTCTCAGGCAGGTTCGGATCCGGTGGCACCTTGGCCGCCCCCCCAGGCGCCGCGGCCGCAGCGGCCCATCCAGTCGCAATTCGCGGAGCCCGCGCAATCGCCCAATCCGACGCTCTCCGCAGAAGCGCCAACGCCCGTGAACCCCTGCGCCGCGTCGGAGCAACGTCGCTCACGCGCGCGGGCCAGTCCGTTCGCCTTGCCCCTTGGCTCAGGCGAATCCTTTCGCCTCGGCGGCCCCGCCCTTCCCGGCGGCGGCGCCGCCCCGGGCTGAGCCATCTGCGCGGGCTACCTCCAGCGCCGGCAGCGCCGGGGCGGCGCTTCAGCAGCTGGCGCCGCGCCCGCTGCCCGCGCGCCACCAGCGCGGGCGGGGCCTCCACGGGGGGCCGCTTCGGGGCCGCTGAAGCGGGCCCGGCAGGGACTGCGCCTGTTCCAGACGCTGCCCGGCAAGGCTTCGGCGCGGACGAACAACGAGCCTGCCCCGACAGTCGAGCCTGCGTGTCCCGTTGCCCCGCTGAACGCCGTTTTCAAGCTGATCGAGAGCTTCGGGGCGGCGACTTCGCCGACGACCTCCGCGCCCGGTCAGCGCTGAGCAGCCCTGATGTCTCGGAGCGCTAAGACTTACTGCCAATGTATTGGCGGTAATATCTTACAACCAAGATCGTGAGATCTCGATGCGACACTCGCGTCCGGTGGCGCGGGTGCAATTGCACGGCGCGCGTTGTTCATCCTCGCCATGATCATCAACGTCATCATCGACATCACCATTGCCATTATCTTCGCCGTCATCATCGGCATCGCCACCACCGTGCTATTCGCGTTTCCACCAGTCGAACAGTCATCGCGCCAGGTGCTGGCAGTGCAGGGCGGATATTGGCGCAGGCAGCTGGGCGTCGGAGGCATTGGTGCGCCGCCTTGGCATCTCTCAACCCCCTCGCACGGACGGCGCCTTCGATTCCCGGTTCTAGGCCTCGGAGTTGGCCTGAACGTCGGGATGGGCGCTCGCAAGAGGAGGGGGGGGGGGGGGCAGGGGGCGGAAGAGAAGGAGGGGGAGAGGCGGAGAGGGGAGAGGGAAGGGGGGGGAAGGAGGAGGGAGGAGGAGAAGAGGAGGAAAGGAGGGCGATGGGGGGAGGAGGAAGAGAAGGAGGGGGGCGAAGAGTAGACGGAAGTGGTATCTGCATTTCAAGCAGCGCGCGCGCAGGATCCAACGAATCCGAGCCGTCAGCGCCAGCATAGATGCAACGGCGGAGGCGATTGCGCTCTGCCCCCCCCCCCCCCCCCCAGCGCCTCGAAGGGCGGGGGGGGGGGGGGGGGGGGGGGGGGGGGGGGGGGGCAATCGATTGCATGGCAAAATGTGGCAATTTACGCCGAGGTGGACTCCGAGGAGGCCACGAGGGCACGAGGAGAATTGGAGGGACGAGGAGTAGGAGGGGGCGGGGGGGAGGAAGAGGGGAAGAGGAGAAGGGGGGTGCAGGGGGAGGGGGGGAGAAGGAGAGGAGGGGAGAACTCGAGTTAGAAGATAGAGGATCTCCTACGAGAGTGGTGATCGTTCGGCCGTCTGGAAACGCTGATACAGCCGATGTTCATTCGCGAGCCTCGCTCGGGCGTGACGTCGCGGGCTCTTGTCTGGGCGTCGGAGGCCATCGGGGTCCGAAAGGGCGCGCGGCTCGGGGATGTCCTTGCTCAATGAAAGGGGGGGGGGGGGGGGGGCGATGAAATTCCCCCCCCCCCCCCCCCCCCCCCCCCCCCCCCCCCCCCCCCCCCTCCCCTCACCCATCCTCCCCTTCTCCTCCTCCGCCTCTCCCCCTCCTCGTCCTTTTTCCGCCCTCCTCCCCCTCCCCCCCTCTCCCCCCTCGTTCTGTTTGCCCCCCCCCCCCCCCGTCGGGGCCCAATGTCGGGGCGCCCGCTGCGTCGAGAGCGGGTTCCCAGTCAGCGATGGTGAATGCCGGATCCCTGTCTCGCGCCTGGGGCCCGCTTGCGCCGCGAGGCTTGTTTAGGACAGGCTCCTCCGCCCATCGCGCCCCTCCTCCTTCGCCCTTCTCCCCCGCCTTCCTTCCTCCTCCTCCTTCATTGCCTTTCCTCTTTCATAATCAGCGCTTCAATCGAGCAATGCCTGCTGCCGCAGTTGCTCGCGCCCCTCGCGTTTTCCCCCGAGCTCCCGCATCCGATCAGGAGCTGGGCGATAACCAATGGTCGATTGGGCGTCAGTAAGGTCGAGCACGTCCTCTAGCATTACCTCGTCAGGGCTTGCCTCGGGTCGTTCGCGCCCTCCCTCTTCGGCATCCTCTCTCCCCCCCCCCATCCTCCTCCCCCGCGCCCTCCCTCCCCCATTTGCTTGATTGCCCAGGGGCCTCGACGCGCGAGTCAGCTCCTGCCCGCGGGGTGGACAGGAACCTCAGGGCATCGGCTGGAAGGCCAGTCCGAACGTCCAGCGGCTTGCGAGAGGTAGCCCCGAACAAGCCAGCGCGCGCAACATGCCGAGACGCCTTGATGGCGAAGCGTCTTCTTCGAACCAGGGTGATGAAATAATGCGCTGTTAAGCGTGCGTTCGAGCGCCGCGCGCGCGCGCCCCGCGCGCGGGCGAGCATGGCAAGGTAAGACCTTGTCAACTCTATAAAACAATTAAACCCCATCAAACCCAGAGCGTCGGATGAACGCCGACGATTTCCCTCGTGATTTCACGTTGGCCCGAAGTTGGCCTGCAGTTGACCGCGGTGGACTCGCCTGGAATGTTTGGTTTTTGCGTTCAACCCAGATGGGGGGAAGAGGATTGAGACGAGGAGTCGGGAGGAGGAGGAGGGGAGGGGGGAGGAGGAGGAGGGGGAGGGGGACAATGGGGGGGGAGGGGGGGGGGGAGGGCGAGGAGGAGGGGTTGCTGGAGGAGGAGGGCGACGTGGCGGAGGGGGGGGGACGGTGGATGATGTGGGATTCCCAATGGAAGGGCGACGACTTTTCGGCGCAGAATCACTGCCATGGCGCTGCCCTCCGCCACCTCGGGAATCTCGACGCCACCCGCAGGTTCATCGATAGTGCGGCGATAGCGTCTCGAACGAAGGAACGACCGCCCAGCAACGAATGGAGATATCCAGAGGGTTGCGCCGGGCTGCGGCAGCAGCGCGCTCGCAACAACGCGCGACAAACCTGCCGCGTTGATCGCGTTTTCGAACACCTGACCTGGGCGACGGTCGAATGCAGCAACCAGGCGCCCCGGTTCACTCAGCAAGGCTGACGTGCGCGACCCGCGCGAAATGACTTCCGTGAAGTTCAGATGCCGCGGCGAATGCACTGGCGACTGGGTCTCCGCCACCGCGACCGCGGAGCTCACTGCCTTGGCAAAAAATATCGCGCCCATGCCCATGACGCGGTCGGAATGAAGGCTGCAGTCTGCAGCCTCAATCTGCCTGGCAGCGCGGCGGCGCCACTCGCCGAGTTTAAATAGTTGGCGCGCCCCAGGCAGAACCGCTGCAGTTGCCGTGGGAACGCGCAGCCAAGCCAACATAGCAGGCAACATCATAGGCCCGGCCAAAAAATCCCGCGGCACAGGCCTGTCCAAAGAGGTGGTTGTTCAACTGCAACGCCCTGTGAATCGCAAACAGCTGGAACGCGCGATGCTCGAGATTAGATCGATGAGCAAATGGGGAACGCCCCGCAATGTAATGTTCAGCCCCTCGTCTAAGAAGCACGAGTAGTTACGAGGATGTTCGTGCATTTTGCTCCTCGGGGGCAGACAGTCACCCCCCAACCATCTCGCCATCTCCTTCCCATCCTGCCCATCTGGCCCCCTCTCCGCACTTATCTGCTCCACCATTCCTGCCCCTCCTCCAACCTCCCATTCCGTTGCTGTCGCCGTCGGGGGCCGTCTCGAGATCCCGCTATCCCATCCCCGCGGGTCCTCTTAGGTTAGTTCCTGGTTCCTGGACGCCAGATGAACAGTCAGGTGTGACATTGGGGTCAGCTCCAGGAGGGCCCTCCTGGCGCATAGATTACGAAGCCGAGCGCTCATCGCAAGTGCTCGAACCCCAGAGCCTGACATTGCCACGCCCTCGCGCTTCATGGTGTCGAGGAATTGCACAAGGGATGAGCCCGCGGCCATGAGAGCGCGACAGTATTTAGCCGCCTCTCCACGCCGTTCGACTCCCACACGCAGAATCGCAGCATCAACTCCGGCTGCGCAGCCATAGCTTTGAAGTGACCCCCAGGGTGGCTAATGTTGTCTGGCGTGCACGAGTCCCTGCCGCCGAGCACCTGAACGAACGGCAATGAGCGACAAGCGGCTGTCTAGGGGAATCTCAGCTTCAACGAACCATTCTTTCATATCCCCAGTGGCCCGTCTGACCCCGAGCTCTGGCAATCAGCCCAACGTCGCAGCTTGGCGCCCCCGCGGGTTCGACGAAGCCGCCCTCCGGAGTGCGCTGGCAGCGTATCGTTGGCAAGGGCCGAAATAGAACGTGTGCGAGAAATCGATGGCCAGTGTTTCCGCTGGGCGAGTGCCCAGCCCCCTGGGAAACAGAAGGCATCTGTGTGGAATTGGGTCCGCGCTCTGGCCACCAGGGCCCCTGCGCGCTCGCCAAAATATAATTGTCAATGGTGGCGCAGCCTCCTCCAGCGCCCCTGCGTCTAGCAACGTCGGCGACGCCGTAAGCCGATCGCCCTGCTGAATGCGAATCCCCAGACACAACAAACGTTGTCTGTACTACTCGGCCCCTTCTTCTGCTAGGTCGTTTCCGCCACCTCGGGTCCACTAAAACTGGCAGGCGGCCAGCTTCAGTGGCGACCGCAATGTTATGTTCGCATCTCTGGCAGGCGCCCTCGTAACTTTCGGGGGCCCTCAGGGCCCAAAGCAAATCGTCGCCCTCGATCGACGCATCGAGATCGAACAGCTCGTTTTTACATTGATGGCCTAATTGGCAAGGCTGCCATTTGCTCTGCCAGGATGCCAACCCCAAAGTTTTCGAGTGATCAGCCCAATCGCCATTCATCCGCCCCCCCCCCCCCGCCCCACCCCCGCGGGAACAATGCGCCTCGAACTAGTTCCCGTGTCGCAACGCCGCGGCTAGATTCGCTCGAGGTTGCGATCGGGCGCGCTGCTTGCGTCGCCCAAAGAGCCGATCGATGCCAATGCTGCGGTGCATGTGTGTTATGTGATTGTGTTTGACGCTTCGCTTCGCTTCGCCTCGGTTCTTCCGCCCGTCATCCCCTCGTTGCCCCCCCCCTGTTGCCCGACGTGTTCGTCGGCGTCGTCGTTATTTGTTGTCCCAGGCGCTCTCGCCGCCAACCTCCTTCGCCTGCCCGTGCGCCTCCACCAGCGCCCCCTCTGTTCTTGCCAACGTGCATCGTCGCCTTCCCACCCCCTTCCTCGTGGGCGGGATCGGCGTAAGCCAGCGTATCCATATCACAGCGGCCGCCCGCCCGAATCGTCTTGGCTCCGCGAGTGGGTGGTCCGCTGGCCGGGCTTTTCCGCCAGGCGAAACGAGCGGCCGATTGCCGCGCCCCATTGCAGTGAGCATCCAAGCGGGGGCATGCAACCCTGGGCATGTAGAACACCATCCGCGGCAACCGCATGAACATTTGTCACTACCCAATTACGCGCCCGGTACGTGGCGCTTACCTGTAAGTAAGTTGATCATCCAATACCCCAGTACATTACCATGACGACCACTGACAATCGATGTATATCTTACTCCATCCAGATATATACCGATCTGGATGGGAGGGTCCATATTGTCGGCAACGTTCCCGATAACCACCGAATGCTCCTTGTAGCGCGGCAAATCTAACACGTTGGGCCCCCTCTCGGCTGCAGGTTGCTTCAGCTTTAGAAGAATAGTCGGGTCCATGCCTATTTCTTCGTCGAGGGCTTTGAATGCAGGCTTGCATTGCGCTGGGCGTGATTTGCGACTTGCCGATCCGCGGGGATTCCCAGGGGTAGCGACAGCGACGGTGAGTCCATCTCCAGACAGTTTTTTGTTTATCGCATGTGGGTATTTACTTGATTGCTTTCCAAATGGTAATGCGTACTCCTTGAATGATCCCCCAGGAACCCCGCCTCTGCACAATAGTGGCATCAAATGCACAGGTCCTGCGCAGAAGTCTTTGCACATGCATAACGGCTCAACATCAATCGAATAGGTTCGGGCCCTGCATGTCGTTAATTCTGCGCGTGCGCGCTGGGGGCCCAATCGTCGGCAACCGACGCTGACTTCCTACGCTTGGCCTTTGGGGGCGGCGTTGCAGCCGAGCTCGTGGGCCAAAATTGCTGCCTCCTGCTCCGCCCGCCCCTCTCTGCGCATACTGCGCGCGTGCGTGCGCGTGGTACTTCGTGCGAAAGTGCGCTCGTTAGGCCCTACTCCTACGCGCGTGCGATATTGCGTGCGATATCGCTCAAGCTGCGCATGCACGTTGCATGCGCGCTTAGAAGCGAGCGTATCCGAGCGCGCGTTCACGCGCCTACTGCCGCGCGATCGCGCTCAGACCACTCAAATCCACGCTTGGATCCACGGGCGTGCGGGCCTAAGCCAGCGAGCCCTTCGCAATGGCCCCCTTTCCTCGCGCTGTCATATGCATTTGGGGCTCTTCGAGGACCCAGGGGCATAAATGCCGAAGGCCTCTACCACCCATCTAAGTTCCATATGCGTTCGTTCCTTACTTCCCCTTCTCCAGCAGAGGGTCCTCGCAATGCTGCAACGTCAGCGCGCGCCTCTCTGCCCTCTCGGAATGGAGCGCGAGAAGGGTGAGAAAGCCTCGGCTCTGGAAAGGCTTCCGCGCCGTGGGGCAGCGGGAATTTCGATCGGGCACCGACGGGCGCATGCTGCGTCGCTCCTGGACTGTTCGCGAGAAAATCGGCGTTCGAGCCCGGACCAACTTGGGCCAGTCGTTTCCCATAGCCCAGCGCGCCTACAAAGAATCTACAAACTACCCCAAGCTGTAGAATTGAGAGCGGCTAGCGGGCGAACGCTCGAACCGCCTGCGGAGCTCGGGCGAGACCGGGGGGCTTCTCAGGAGAAGCCTTGGGCGGGGGAGGCCCTCGGGACCATGGGCCCATATTTGCATGGAGCGTTAGAAAGTGCGGCCGCGCGCCGCGCCGTGCGCGCCTTAAATCTGGGCGATGCCACCGCGCCGAGTGCCCCCCCAGAAGGCTTCGCCCCAAAGGGCATCGCTCTACCAAGGTCCCTTCCCCAAGGGCATCGCTCCACAAGCCCCGCGCCGAAGCTCGCCTGAAACGCTCGCCCCGTTGCCATGCGCTGCGCGCGCGACCGCCTACTCAAACATCAAATGACGCCCGCGCCATCCGCGAACGACCCGCGCCCCTGGCATCTGAGACCGCGCGGGGCGCACGCGTTGATCTGTCGAACCATTGCATGCGGGCGGCACGACAACCCGACACTTCTTCAACTCCATATTCAGCGTATGCTATTTCGTTTTTGCGGAGGGATTTTTGCGCGCGCGCAGTCGTTGAAACGGTGCTGAGACCGCGAGGTTGTGGTCGTCAGTCCATGCCATGCGGGCCACGCGCGCGCATGTCGAAATCATCCCGCGCGCCTGCCAATCAAAAAATGCCGTGCGGGCCACAAGATGGCCTCCTCGCGCGCGCATTTGGGAAACATTGTCGAACTATGGTTTGCAAGCGTTTCGATGTGTATGTGTCCACAAAGCAGCTGGAACCATTAAGCAAAATTGTTCCATGCCGCGGCAATCGCACTTTCTGCCCGCACCAGTTCCTCATATTCCGCACCGCCCCCACCAACACCATCGCCCGCATGATCGACCGCGTCATCATTGCCAGTGCCATCGTCATCATCATCAGCATCATCATCACCATCATTACCATCGGCAGCGTCATCACCCCATCATCACATACATTATGTCCACCAAGGTCGTCGGCAATCACCACGGTCATCGTCGTTGCCGTTACCTTCGTCGTCGTCACCACCATTATCACTGATCACCCGCATCAGTTTCATCACCATCAGCAGGCACGTTATCATCGTCGTGGTCATCATCGCCATCGTCGTCGTCGTCGTCGGTGCCGCCGCTGTTCCTGGTCCACGTCGCAATCATATTGTGTGCAGCCGGGCTTGATTGTAGAGGACAGGCGGGAGGACCCCAGGCCCTTCCCAGGGCCATGCTGTCCCTTGACTGCAGAGAACGTGAAACGCGAAACCAGAAACACAAAGGCACCTTGAATGTGAAGGGTCGACCTACCAATCAAAATCGACTATAAACACCTGGCCGCGTTCTTTCGCTTCCGCGGCCACGTCAACCACAGCATGTTCGTGCGCAGATTCAGCCGCCTGCGTCAGACCTTGACAAGGTGCGTGCAGTTTCAAACTTGCCGTCGTGCGCAGTTTTTCTCCTTACCGGTGTGGTCCCTCTCGCTGCGGCAAGCTTTCCCATGTGCATCTGCCCTATGCGTTTCGATTAGTTGCACTTGCGCACGAATTCTCCTGAGGCGCATGCAGAATCTGTGACGTCATGACCTAGTGGTGGTACTTTTCGCTCGCCCAATTCTGTGCTAGGTGTCCGTGGTATGGAGCGGGGGCGAGGGAGAGAGATGCGAGGGAGGGGAAAAGAGGATGAAGAAAGACAGAAGAGAACAGGGGGAGTATGGTGTGCATAATGCCCCAACATCTTCGCAGGTCCTTGTCTGGAGGCCTCCACACGCCCCAAAAAACGCCCCCCAAAAACCCAAACGCCCTGATCCTCGGTCGTCGTTCGTGGGGACGGGGGGGGCAATGTGGAGGGGCGTTTGACCAGACAGGGGGCGGAAAGGACGACGGTGACGGGGAAAAGGGGGGAGCTGGGGCACGGTGCGTGGATCCTCCTCCCCGTGCTCATGCTTTTTCCAATTCCTCATCTTCCGCCTTCTCGTCCTCACGGACCTCGGCATCTCCTTCCTCATACTATCCGCCTTCCTCATCCTTTTCTCCCGTGCGTATTATATGTCACTAGCTCCACTGGCTCATCCTACGACGTACTCTTCCCCACCCTCTTCCCATTACTCCTCATCGTCTTTCTCTTTCTCTCACGCTTCCACTTGCAATATTCAAATTCCTCTTTTCCTTTTTCAATTATCATTATTCCTTCCCTTCCCCTTCCTCCTGATCGTCCTCTCCCTCATCCTCCTCCTCCTCCTCCTTGTCGCCGTCTTCGTGTTCACACAACTCCTCTTCCCGTTTCTCTCGTCCTCCTTCACCTTGTCCTTCTGATGGGGGACAGGACGGGGAAAGACGTTTCCAGGGGGAAGACGTTTCTGAAGTATCCAAGTGGTCTTCTGGGCTCCTCGGAGTTCCACCGAGGTTTCCGAAAGCTACCACCGACGTTTGCGTTGTTCCTCGATGGCCAACGTGATGCGAAGGAAGGAGCAGGCGTAGGATGACGGAGGGAGAGAATCATAAGACCAACCTGTGGAACGTTGACCTCAGCCAGAGTCACCTGTCAGAAACGCCGCGGCACAAACATATTCCGGCACAACGCAAACATATGCAGCCCCTGGCGCAGTCCTCGAGAATGAACGTCTTATCCTTCTCCTCCTCTAGACCCCAGACCCTGACACGGTGAGCCCCCTGCAGCCCCCCGAGGCAATCCTCGTCGATGAGCGTCTTCTCGCTGTCGAGCCAGTTCATCCTGGAAGCTCGAAACTGTTCGAGGATCGAGGGGGATCAAGGATCGAGGACGAGGATCGAGGAGGATCGAGATGGACTCCCCTTCCTCACCCGCCTGACTCCTGCATCCTTCATCCTGCCTCCTCCTTCTTTTCTGCATCCTCCTCCCAACCCCTGCTCCGTCCCTCCTCCGCCCCCCCCTCCTCCTGCATCCTCCTCCGCCTCCTTCCCACTGCCTTCCTCTATTTAGCTCCCTGCTCCTTCCTTGCATCGGGGGCACGCAAACATGGATTGACGATCCATGGATTTGGCGCGCAGTCGCCAAAACCATGGATCGGGGGAAGTGCCCTCCCCGAAATGCGGCCGGTGCCGCCTCGCTCGGCGGCGGAAATCCGAGACTTCCCCTGGAAACAGGACCCGTCGCCAATCCACGCCCCCTTGATCCAGATTTGCGCTCCCCGGATTGCAGCGGCCCGGCTCCTCCCCGCTCCCCTCCCCCCTCGCCTCAGCCTCGCCCCTCCTCGGGTCGGACTTCGAGGCCGCCTGGCCTTTCGGGCTCGGCCCGCGGGCTCCCCTGCGGGCAGCCCCAGAGGGCAGCACTCGCAGCGCTCCCCCTCCCCCTCGAGGAGGAGGATCGAGGGTCGACGAGGGGGAAGGGGAAGAGAAGGGGGGAGCTAGGAGCCAGGAGCCGAAGAGCCCGAGAACTCAGGGAGCCGTTTCGCTCAGATGACCCGCTTCCTCCAAGGCGCAAGGCGGGGCAAGGAGAGGAGGAGGACACTGAAGAGGATGATGATCGAGAATTGAGGAGGAGGATCGAAGAGAAGAACCGATGGGAACGAGGAGAAGGAGGAGGATCAGTGTGAACCCAAGACTCATTAGCAATATTGCAATAATCCCCTACCTCCAAACTCCCACTTCATAGGCCCTAGAAATATTCATTTCCACTGTGGGAATTGCCCTGGTGGGGGACAACCCTTTTTGAAGTCCTGCACCGCGTCTTGACGATCCTGAATCTCGCAAAGATGCCATCCCTGGGGATTTGAACACGGCGAATCAGCGTGACTGCTGTGCCCTGACAACCCTACATCTTCCAAAACACCATCTCTTGCACGCCAAATATGAGAATACACGAAACTCTTGCTACAATCAAGCGATTGTGCGCGGTGCCAAGGCGAGAACCACATTTTGAGAAGGACAGGTCCTCAATCCGTGAAGCTCTTGCAACTTTCCATAACGAATGTGCGCGGCGCTAAGGCGAGAGCCACATTCAGGAAGCGGCCCGTCCTCCATATGTGAAACTGTTGCCAATTTTGAAGCTTCAGGGTCACAAGTGGTAGGGACGACTCAGGCGAAAGGCCCAACCCGCCCTTCCGACCGGCCTCGGGGTGCGACAAGGAAGAATTATGCAGAAGGAAACGGAATGGAGGATCGAGGATTGAGGCGGATCGAAGATCGAGGAGGATCGGCGGCGAGCCCAGAGGTGGGAGTGAGAAATAGAAGGCCTTCTCAGAAGGCTCTGAAGTCCCCAGCCTTCTGAGAAGTTCTCTAAGCTTTCCCCCGAAGACACTGAAGAGTTCTCAGAAGGCCCGAGGACTTCTGAGAAGGCATGCCGCCTCCTAAGGAGGGCCTTCACCTTCTCACTTTCCGCCTCGCTTGCCGCCGAGAGGATCGAGGAGGGCCCGAGAAGGATCGTGAAGGAGGAGGATCGACGATCGAGGGTAGAGGAGGATCGAGGATTGCGGAGGATCGAAGATCGAGGAGGAGGAGGAGGAGGAGGAAGAGGAGGGGTGGGCGCCCGGGGCCGTCGTCCCACACCGGGAAGGAGGACCCGAGAAGGGGTGGGCGCCCGGGGCCGTCCTGCCGAGGCCGTCGTCCCACACCGACATGGACATCACCATGCCTCCGGGCGGCCGCCCACGGCGGAGCGAGGGGCGCCAGGCCGCGAGCACGACCGACACTATTTCACATTCGGACCCAGGCCAGAATAATAGATCCTTCAAAAACACGAAGACCCTCCGTCGGCCAGAACATAACATACAAAGGTACCTCTGGTTGACCCAAAAGATGGTCTAGCTGAAAGGGGGTGGTGCAATAGGTTTGGGGCAATTGTGTTGCAAATGTATTGCACCAGAGAGCTGTATTGCATTGTGTGGCAACTAACGCATTACACGCGAAAGCCCAGCAATACATTTGCGCATCAGAATGTATTGCACGCCCCAAATCTGTTGCAACCCCACAAATAGATTGCACCAAGCCTATTGCACCACTCCCTTGTCACTGAACCCCCTTTTGGGTCAACAGGAGTGACCCCCCAGATGTACAAGAAAATCTAACAAACACGAAGAACACGAAGGTACCCTCCCCGAGCCGACCTCGACCTTACGCCTCGGTCAGACTGTAGCCGTTCATGGGAGCCTTCGCTATGGTGCCCAAACGCTGGCTCTCGCTCCGGTTCCCCTCCGCTGTTGTTCCACTTCCGCTCCGCCTCCGTTCGGATACGCTCAACGTCCCCCGATCTTTGTGCATTCATTCATAAAAGCCTTCGTATTACTCTGCGGCGGTTGATTTCGTTCCGCTTTCTGCACACTTACATTCCGCCTCCGTTCGAATACGATAAACGTCCTCCATGGGCCTGACGCCATCGGAATACAACGGCCGTGGAGGCACGAAGGCGGCGCGGAAGTGGCACAGAAAGGGCACGGACTCTCAGAACGCAGGAACACACAGCGTGACACGCACATGTCCACGCATGGCTACACAACCAAACGGGCACGGAACTCCAAGGAAGGCACTTTCTCGCCCAGGCTCGGTTCTTGGTGGCCCCAGCGCCCGACAGCGGGCCCCGTGGGGCCGACAACAACGAAAAACGCCCCGACTGAGCAGCACCACTTTGTTGGAGATCTGGGCCCCAGACGGGCCCCAGATCGGCAGCGACCAGCCCGCCCTTCCGACCGGCCTCGGGGTGCAACAGGGAGGAATTGTGTACAAGGAAGCGGGATGGAGGATCGAAGATTGAGGCGGATCGAAGATCGAGGAGCAGGATGAGGAGGATCGGCGGCGAGCCCAGGGGGGGGAAGTGATGAGGAGAATGCCTTCCCAGAAGGCGCGGACGTCCCCCGGCCTCCTGAGAAGTTTTCTGAGCTTTCACCCGAAGACACTGAAGAGTTCTCAGAAGGCCCGAGGGCTTCTGAGGAGCCCTGCCGCCTCCTAAGAGGGCCTTCTCCTTCTCACTTCCCCCCTCGCTCGCCGCCGACCAGAGTCTGGAGGATTGAGATGGGCACGGGAAGAATAGTGAGGAAGACCGACAGCTCCTGTCCAGTTTGAACAGGACTCGCTGTCGGCGTCGCCGCGGACGGTGTCCATCTGAGACAAACAGTTTCCTGCCCAATAGCGGCCGCTTCGGTTTTGGACAACATTTGTTGTGGTGCATCGTACACAATTTTACCCTGCCCATTTCGGGCCTGCCGAGGCTTGAGGGGTAACGTTAGGGAAAGACAAGCTGACGGCAACGTCAACCTAACATTGGCGGTACATCGCCGATGAATCGGCGATACGCCCCCGATGGCGCTTCCGCGGGTTCCTGGGAGGGTCCCTGGAAGCCTCTGGAGGTCTCCGTAGACCTCCATAGGCCCAAAGCACATCCAAGAACCTCGGCGACGACGACGACGACGGCGGACGACGACAGCGACGACGAAGACGACAACGAATGCCCCAGCACACGATGACACCGACAACTGATGGCGATGACAGACGACGACGACGACGAGCACGACAGCCACGGCGGCGGCGAATGACGATGGTGACGACGTCGGCGGACGACTGCCGACGTCGGCGACTGACGGCGACGATGGCGACGACGACGACGGAGACGAGCTAAGGCCTCGCGCCGATGGAATCGCCAACGTCACCCTTAGGCGCCGTCGGCCTCTCCCGGAGGGTGTCCAGGTCCAGGGCGCTCCGTGGAGGCCCAAAGAAGGCCCGAGAACGTCCCGAAACCTCGATCCTCCAGACCCGATTCAGAGGAGGAACGGACACAGACATCCTAGCGCCGCGACAAGAATCACGACGGACAATGTGCGGATTTCGGGCTCTGGAGGGCCCTCGCCAGGCACCGGGGCCGCCCAAAAACGACCTGGGATGGAAAATCGGCACTGGGGAAATTGGGAAAAGGTCACGACTTATAGGGACCCTGTATTGAACAAGTCAGAACGTCGCGTGTCTGGGGAGAACGTCGCCACCGAGAACCCATCGGCGGGAACCGACCCCTTGGCGGTGGCACGCCCGAGCATCATCCAGTACTGGACGACACTCGGGCGTGCCACAGCCGAGAGGTCGCCACTCCCCCCTGATGGGTTCTGGGTGACGGTCGTACCTGTTCGCGCTCCAGCCTCGAACGCTGATGGCAAACATCTGCACAGGCACGAACTTTCAGAGGTCCGCGCGGACCTCGTGGATCGGCGCTGGACCCTCGTGGCACGCTGGGAGGCGGGCCCAGCGCCTGCCCAGGAGATCCCAGGCGATCCTCGCAGGCCTCCAAGTTATGTTCATGCACTTCCTCCTTCTTCCTCTTCGACTGACGACGATGGACGTCGTCCGACGACAACGACGTCATCGACAACGGCGGCGGCGGCGACAACGAACGACGTACAGCGAACGACGACGAGCAACAACCTGACGACCGATGAGGGCGCGTCATGGCCTCGTCCGATCGCCTCGCCCATCGCCTTGGTGCCGCCGGCCAGCTTAAAGGTGTCCATCCAGGTCCGGCTCTTTCTCGAGACGGGGGGGAGCAAGCGCGGTCGGAATCGAATCGGGAAGGAGGTCGAGGATAAGCAGCACGAGGTGGAGGAGGAACGGGCGAGGAGGGCAAGGGGAAGGAGAGCGAAAAAGAGGGCGAAGGAGACGGGGAGGATGGGGACAAGGAAAAGAGGAACGGGAGGAGGAGGAGGAGGAGGCGGAGGAGGAGGCTGAGGAGGAGGATTGGTGCAATGTCGCGCCCCGCCCGCGGGTCCTCGCTGTGTGGTGCTTTTCGTTCTTCTTGGTGACGTTGAACTTCTTGACGGTGGCCTGCCCGCCACCCGCCTTTCCTGCCGTCAGGAGCAGGAGAGAAGGGGTGGCGCGGGAACAGGAGGAACTGGAGGAGGCTCGAGGGCAAGGTGCCTTCGTGAGTCTCGTTTCCCCCCCCCGATCCTGCCAGCAGCCCGAGCAGGAGGGGTGAAGCACGGGAACGAGAGGAGGATACGCAAGCTGAATGATCTCCGCAGCTTGAGAGCCAGGGAGCGACGAAGTGAAATGGCTGCTACCCCAGCCGCGTGGTTGCACAGCTTAGGGGAAGCCCCGTGCGTGGGTGACACCTGGCCTTGAAAATTCTGCTGAGTACGACTCCTTTCCCAAATGACAGGGCCAATACAAATAGCAATCGACACTCGGAACTGTCGGCTAATCGACGAGCCGCCACACTTGAGACAATACATACATTGGCCTTCCGAGACCATGTGGTGGCATCAGGTAACCTCAAAGGCAGGTTCGAGACAACTAATTTTGGACCCCCACGGCTGTCACGAGGGCCCTCGGAGTTAGGCAGACTAGAACAGTACCGCTAGCGTGAGCAGCCCGACCATCAGACGAAAGGGCCTTGTGCAGGGCCTGAAGAGGTAGGAGGCGGAGGAGGCGGGGAGGGGGAGGAGAGGATATTTGGCTGCATGGCTGCAAGACGAGGAGGAAGGGAGACAGGGAAGACGGGAAGGATGAGGGGGAGGGAGGAGGGCGAGGGGGCATGGACGGGAGGAAGATGAGCAAGACAATGACGACGACGACGAGGAGAAGACGCGTCCGTCTCAACCTCCGCTCACTCACAGTGAAGCCATCTGGCCAGAAGAGAAGAGCGGAAGGAGGAGCACGCAAACCGCCGAACAGGGGCCAGATACAATCCCAGGAGGTTGGTAACTAGGAGGACGATCGACCATCGACGGCCATGGTTTTGGACAGGTCCAGAACACCCCCATGAGAGAAGGGGGTAATTAGCAGGTGGAGGAGGATCAAAGGCCCCCACTTCCACATCCTCTTCATCCTCATCGCCTTCTGCCCTCCTGCGCTTCCGCATCTTCCTCCCTGCCCTCGAAGTGCCCGTCGAACTCTTCTGTCTCCCCGTCTTGGGGTCACAAGACCGTCCTACTGGACCTTACTAGTTGATTGCATCTCTTCCCCAGCCAACGGTTCAACATCCTTTCTTCGCCACCCTCGTACAGTCAAGCTCTTGCAACCATAATAGTAACGAGAACTCACCCGCTGAGACACCCAGGGGGCAACCTAACGAATAACCCGAATACCATCGAACACTTGCAAGACATATCGTGCCCCCTACTTTGACATTGACGCCCTACCTGTAATATCCGAGGTCTGTCCCAATGGAAGAATCAACCAACATCAAACCGCGACATCGGATCGGATCGGAACGACTATCGAACAAATCCGCATCGGCTCGGAGTCGAAATCGAATCGGATAGGCCGCACCGAGATGCACAACCACACCATGCGAGCGTCGGGCCGCATCGGATCGTCGGGATATCATGATCGGATCGGATCGAAGCATCGGGAATCGCATCGAACCATATCGAATTGTAGTCTGCCTCGTGGTCCCCGGAAGTTCCCAGAGGTCTCGTGAGACCCCCCGAGGACTCCAGAGCCCCCCTCAACGCGGGCATCAACAGATGACAGCAGATGCGAAGACCTCCACAACTAAAAAAACATTCAGCAACAATGAAATACCAAGCAGGAAGAGGCTAGTAATAGTATGCTACATCGCTAGACTGTGTAGCCAGATGATGCTGAACATTTGCAGCACTAGCTAGCGTATGAGGCGGAGGGATGAGGAAGAACGGCGGAGGATGAGAAGGAGGAGGAGGAGAAGCAAGTTCCCAGATAACCAAAAACTCCTCAAATCTAGGACCTCTCCCCCTGAAAACTCTCCCGGGGCTTCTCCCAGGGGTCAGCTTTTCGTACTGCGTCGGCCTTTGACGTGGCCTGGGGGGCCGTGGAGAGCCCAAGGGAGTCCGAACACGGCGAAAAACCTCAGGACCCGTCCCCCCCTTCCCGAGGACCCATTTCTGTTGGGTCGGACCACACGGGAGTGAAGCGAAGCGAAGCGAACGCCAGGAACGTGCGCGCTCCACAATGGGACAATTTGTTGATTCACCCCCCCGTAAGGTCCGTTACGGGGGCAAGTAGCCGTGACGTGGTCGGGCCCCGCAGGGGGGGCCTGGGGGCCAGGCGACGACGACGACGACGACGTCGACGACGATGTCGACGACGACGACGACGAGAACGAGGACGAGGACGGGGACAGGAACGACGACGACGATGACGCCGACGAGGACGACGAGGACGAAGACGACAATGAGGACGACGACGACGACGACGACGACGACGACGACGGACGCCTCTGAAGGTCTCCGGAGGCCCAAGGAGGTCTCTGGAGACTTCTGGAGGCGTCTGGAGGCCCTTCGAGGCCCTCGGCGACGACGACGACGACGACGACGAGGACGACGAAAGGGAGAGAGGACGGGGACGAGGACGACGATGACGACGACGACTAAAACGACGACGCAGACAACGGCGACAAAAACGTTGACGACGTGGACGGGGACGGTGACGACAACGACGACGACGACGACAAGGACGAGGACGAGGACGGGAACGGAGACGACGACGACAAGGACGAGGACGAGAGGGAATGACGACGACGGCGAAGATACCAAACGACGACGAAGACGACGGCGACGACGACAACGACGACGAGAGAACCTCACTTCAGCCACGCGCCCAGGGACAGTGAATGGCCGTTCGGCCCCCTCACTCTGACAATCTACATTACCACCACCTCCTCCATTCCCCCTCCCTCCTCGACTCACCTCTTCCTCCCCTCTTTGCTGGGAAAGGAAGGGGATGAGGGAGGCGGTGGTGGTATTTACTTGGGCCCCATACATTTACCCCTGTCGTACGACCCGACTCCTTCATGTCTCGCGACGCTCGATTCTCCAGTCCCTTTCCCGAATCGGCCGCACTGCTCCCCATCCTTCCCGTCTGCGCCTCTCTCTCTCTGTCTAGCTCTGTCTGCCGACCTCTCTCTTTCTCTGTGTGTTTCTCCTCCCTCTTTCCCTCCCTCCCTCTCCCGCTGACGAGGTCAGAAGAGCCAGCCTCACAATGAGCACCCCATACCAGCGAAGCCCCCTAGCGACTGGGCCCATGTAAGGGGCCAGACGGGGTAGGACTGTACAGTAGACGCCCATGACTGCTCAGCAAACGCCAGTTATGGGGGGCGGGGTGGATTCCCCTCTCCCCCGTCGAGACCTCTACGCAGGGACCTCCGGAGGCCTCCTCAAATGAGGGGCAACGAGAACGGGGACCGGCTCAGGGGGTACTGGACCGCCTGATAACGATATGCCCCCGATAGCGAAACCGCGCATTTCTGGATCCGTGCGCTGGCGCCTGGTACAATCGTGAAACTGGCAACGTGCTGCAAGCTGCTATGCTACGTGTCGGTTGTTTTTGATGGGCTCAATCTCGGGACTCATGGTTCTCAGTCACGCTACTCGATGTGCAACGGCAAGGCGCATCATGGTGCGACCACGAAGGCGCCGATATCGATGCACCAAGGGGTGCGCTGTCGGGCCCCTGTTTACTGGCAATGACACGGGGCCGCCGAGAAGATGAATCGGGGCCAATGAGAGACCGGCTCCGGGGAGGGTGTCGAGGCTGTCAGGGGGGTCGAGGTCTCGTTTCCTCTCTGTCTCTCGTTTTCTCACGCTCTGCCTCGCCCTCCCTCACCGCGCGAACATACGCTCGGGGGTCCGCGCGGGCTTCCTGGATCCGCGCCGCGCCCCGCGCGCGAAGCCAAAGGGGGCCATCGACCAGCGCCGATCCAATCATTCGCGGACGGATGCAGGCATGAGACACGCGTTCGCCATCGGGGGCGACTTTCCCGGGGCGGCTGCGACGCTCATACCCCGACGTGTCACCGTAGAGGGGTCCGTATCAACTTCCCGCTCGCCCTCGGACGAGGGTCCCCCCTGGCGGAGTAAGTCGTTTGACGTCGTTCTTCGCGCGCTAGAGAGAAACGGAGGCGCCCGTCGCACACCATTCGGGCCCGCGGTCGCAGTTTAGGGGCCGTTCAGGGGGGCCCCTGTTTAGGACCACTTTCCTGCCATCCTCGATCCCCCCAACGTTTTGGAGGCCCTTCAGATGGGGCCGGAGTGATGGGTTCGGTGGATCGCGCCGCATCGTCAATGTATCGCCGATGCCTCGGCGACGTCGGCGATGTATCGGCGACATCGTTGTGGAGAACATCGGGCCCCACATCGAACCTCATCGGCGATGCATCGGCGATGCGACGCGATCCTCCGAACCCATACACTCGGAGCAAATCTGGGAGGCCTAGAGCCTAGACCAGCGTTTATTCTCTTGCACAGGGCGTCTAGAGCTCCGACCACTTTATTCCGCGTCGCACCCTCCCCCCCGCGTCCCCAGCGCCAGAGTGGGACCCCCGCGCCGTGGCTCTCTGCCCCGAGCCCCCCCGCATCCCCAGCGCCCCAGCGGGAGCCCCGCCCACTGCCCCCTCCGCCACGAACGCTTTATTCCGCGTCGCACCCCCTCCCCCGCGTCCCCAGCGCCAGAATGGGACCCCCGCGCCGTGGCTCTCTGCCCCGAACCCCCCTGCGTCCCCAACGCCCCAGCGGGAGCCCCGCCCACTGCCCCCTCCGCCACGAACGATTCCGCGTCGCACCCCCCCCCCGCGTCCCCAGCGCCAGAGTGGACCCCCGCGCCGTGGCTCTCTGCCCCAGCCCCCCCGCGTCCCCAGCGCCCCAGCGGGAGCCCCGCCCACCACCTCCCCCCTCCCCCCCGTCCCCAACGCCCCAGTTGGACCCCCGCCCCGTGGCCCTCTGCCCCAAGCCCCGCCCAGTGCCCCCTCCGCCCCGACCATTTTATTCCGCGTCGCGACGCACACCACCTCCCCCACCCTACCCCCCCGCGTCCCCAGCGCCCCGGTAGAAGCCCAGCCCAGTCACCCCGAGCCCCCCCGCGTCCCCAGCGCTCCAGTGGGAGCCCCGCCCACAACCCCCTAAGCCACGAACGTTTTCTTCCGCGTCGCACGGCCCCCACCATCCCGCCCCTACGATCGTTCTCCCCTCCCCGCCCGCCCGGTGCACCCCGCCCCCCCTCCGCTCCGACCATTTTATTTCTGCGTCGCACCGCCCCCGCCGTCCCGCCCCTCCGAGACTTCTCCGATTTCTCGTCCCCTCTCTCCCCCCGTTCCTCCTCCTCCTTCTCCTCTTCTTCTTCCTTCTCCTCCTCCTCCTACTCCTCCTCTTCCTCCTCCTCCTCTTCCTCCTTCCCCCTCCGTTTTGTGCAAGAGCCGTGGCACGCGTGCCACTTGTTGCCCCCTCCGTTGCCGTCCGCCCGAACTCGGCAGCGCGCCCAATCGGTGAGGAGGGGGAAGAAGAGGGGGCGGGCCCTCTCAGACGGCGGCGGGGCTTCTCAGAACCCTCTGGCCCTCTGAGAGGTGCTCTGCGTTCTCGGGGAAAGCCCAGGGAATTCCTCGGCCATCCCGAGGCCTTCCGAGCCTCCTGGCGAGGATCCGCCCCTGCTCACTTCCCCCCCCAGACTCGCAGCCGATTACTGCCCCTGCTGGAGCGGAGGAGGAGACGGAGGAGGAGGAGGAGCAGGAGCAGGAGGAGGAGGAGGAGGAGGAGGAGGAGGAGGAGGAGGAGGAGCAGGAGAAGCAGGAGGAGGAGCAGGAGGAGCAGGAGGAGGAGGAGGAGGAGGAGGAGGAGGAGGAGGAGGAAGAGGACCCCTCTTTCCGTCTCTCCCTCTGGAGCCCGGCTCGGCACGCGCGCTGTGGCGGCGCCCTGTGCCCCTGTCCGCCCCCCCCCGCGAGGCCGAGCACAGGTCGTCGGTCAGGGAGTTGCCCTGGTCGGCCTGCGCGGGGCAGTCGCTTGGCCTCCAGCGCCTCCCCCAGATCGGAGGAGGAGGAGGAGGAGGAGGAGGAGGAGGAGCAGGAGCAGGAGGGAGAGGCGAAGGAGGAGGAGGATGATAAGACGCTGCTTGGCGCTCCCGCGCGTCCGCACCGACGGGCACATTAAGAGGAGGAGGAGCAGGAGGAGGAGGAGGAGGAGGAGGAGGAGGAGGAGGGGGAGGAGGAGGAGGAGGAGGAGGAGGAGGAGGAGGAGGAAGAGGAGGACTTACCTTCACCCGATGTCATCCTCGTCCTGGCTTCGTCTGAGGAGGGGGCGGGGGGCGAGGGAGGGGGCGGAGCGGCCTCTCCAAGAGGCGGCGGCCGCTCCAGAAGCCCTGCCGCCTTCCACACGGGGGGAATCCTCTCGGAAGCTCTCGGGCGTTGCTCCATGGGGTGGGCGATACCTTTTGGGCCCCAGGGCCCCCTCCAGGCACTCCTCGGGGCCCAAATTGGTGTTCCCCCGCCCCCCCCCCCCCCACTCGTCGCCCTCCCACTGCGCAAGGCCCAACTCTTGCCCGGGCGCCGTGCGTACCTCTGCCTTCTGAGAGGCCCTCTGTGGCTGCGGACGAGCCCAGGAGCGCTTCTCAGACGGCGGCTTCGGAGGAGCCGTGGAGCGCTTCTCAGAAGGCGAGAGGCCCTCTGAGTCGTCCGAGAAGGCCCGCCTCCTCTGACCTCCCCCGTCGGCGCGCCACTGGACATCCGAGCTGTCTGCCGCCAGAGGGCTCCCACGTGGGGCCCGAGCAGATGGGGCCGGAGAATCGCGCCGCAGCGGCGACGTCGGCGTGGAAAGAATCGGATTCCACATCGAGCTGTCCTCGTCGTCCTCCTCCTCCTGCTCCTCCTCCTCCTCCTCCTGCTTCTCCTCCTCCTGCTCCTTCTCCTCTTTCCTAGCTGGGAAGATTGGGAGGAATGATGATATGAGGATGCAGGAGGCGGGGGACGGCGAGGCGGCCTCCTGAGATCGGGGGGCAACTCGATGGCCCCAGAGATCCTGGGGTACCGGGGAGCGTCCCGCTCTGGCCCCCGCGGGATCCGCGTCGGAGGGCACATGTCGGCGGCGAGCGAGGGGGGGAAGTGATAAGGAGAAGGCATTCTCAGAAGGCGGCGTGTCTTCTCAGAAGCCCTCGCGCCTTCTGAGAAATGTCCTGGGTCTTCGGGGACGGCTTAGAACACTTCTCGGAAGGCAAGGGGACCCCGAACCTTCTGAGAGAGTCCGCCCCTTCTCACTTCCACCCGGGCTCGCCGCCGAGACGGGAAGGCAGAAAAAAGCAGCAGAAGGACGACTACGGCGAAAGGGTCGCGCTGTGCAGTTCGACAGCTCGGTCAAGCCAGGCCGTCGGTCCTGGCGCGCCAGGCGAACAGCGGGAAGAGGCAACCATGCACGCGCCTCAGAATGTCAAGTGGCTCTCCGCTGGACCCCCCAGGAGCTCACGAAAGTGGCGACAGTTGCGCACTTGGCAGCACCCATGTCGGCGAGGTACCGTTTGAATCCGCTTAAGAGAACACTTCGCTTGGCACCTCCATACGGTGAAGACCTCTGCGCAGCTGGCAGCACACCATGAGGATGTGATGCTGGGACCCTGTAATACTGCACTTCGCTGAACCCCCGAAGCCCTGCGAAATTGAACACACTTTCGCGCCTTGAACAAGCGATGTCAAGACGGGGAGGAGGGAGGATATGGAGAGAGGAAAGGAGGATTGATGGATGAGGCAGGAGGAGGCCAGAGGAGGGCGGGAGATGGAAGAGTACAGCAAAGCTGTATTCAAAACGAGCATCCGGAAGCCTGGTGGGGCGCAAGAGTCCAGTCCCTCTTGCACCCCACTTCCTTTTCGTCTTCCCCCCATTCCTGATCCTCCTACCAGTACTGCGGGCACTGCGGATGCTGCAAAGGACAGCCATAAGAAGCAGAGCTGGCCCATGGGCAGTAGCCCAATATTACGCCGATATGTAACTTCCCCAGCAGGGTGCCACTGACAGGTTGGGCGGGGTGAATTCGGAACTTGGTACTGGAAAGCTGGCGGGCGCGCTTCTCATTGTAACTATTAGGCTCACATTTCCACTTCGGGCTCATGACTTTGTGCGCCCTACAGCGGGAACCGAAGCGCGCAGGAAACGTTGAATCTACCACGAAAGCGACGTGGAGGGAACTCCCGAAGTGGCCCAGCCCCCTCAGGACCTCCACCTACAAAGGGCTCAGGGCGTTGCATGAGGTCCTCGTGGGCGGCGAGGTGGCACGGAGACAGCAGCGACATCTCCAGTCTAGAAGGCAGAAAGCCCACCCCGACAGCTTCCACCCCGACAACAAAACAGAACAGAAGCCGTACGCCCAAAGGCGCGTCGGCAGGCGCTACATGATGAATGAATTCAGACATATCAGAGAAGGAAGGACGCACGCAGAGAGGGAGGGATGCGCGACGAGCGGGGACGGGAGGCGAGGCGGAGCGAGCGAGGGAGAAACGAACGACGAGGGGGGACGACCGGGGAAACGCGAGAGCCGTTTAGCAAACGCGCCCAGGGAAGGAAGCGAACAGGGATGAGCTGCTTAGTAAACGCCCGGGGCCATTCAGTAAACGCCAATTGTCGGCTCCGGGTGTTTTGTCTTCCCTTGGCAGTGAGCGCTGTGCCCGTGAAGGATCTGTGGGGAGGTCGCAGGCCTACCAGCGCGGGGCCTCGCAACTCCTCCACAGCTCGGCCTGAGGCCAGGAGCTCCCCCATCCCGATAGCGAACGTGTTCTTACTCAGCGTTGCTAGAGGCCGGAGAAGATGGGGTCGGAGGATCGGGCCGCATCGGCGGTACGCCGGCGATACATCGTCGATGCATCATCGATGCACCGGTGATGCACCGGCGATGCATCGTCGACATCGGCGATGCATCGGCGACGTCGACGTGAAGCAAATCGGGCCCCACATCGAGCGCGATCCTCCGACCCCATCTACTCCGACCCCATCTAGGAGGCGTAGAATTACGACATTGCGCGGAAGGGGGGGGAGGGGGAGGGGTCTGGCTCCCGACCTCTGCTTGGCGCGACTGTTTACAGCAGCGCGTCCTGGTGGGGGGACCCCACCTGCTGGAAACGAGCGCCCCTAAACAGCCAGGATCTACCCCATGGGGGGGGGGGGGCGAGGGCCCGCGCCGATCGGCAAACAATGAATCCGACAACGACGGCCCAAACAGCTCTTTGAATTGTTTGAGCGTGGAGTGCAAGGCAGCGGCGAAACTTGGCTCAATGTCGCGAGCCTCGGCGCCTTGGCCACCCAGCCAATCTGCAGCCGCATCGCCACGAGTCTCGACTTTATCAGCCTCGGAGGCAGCGGTATCTTCAGTTCTGCTGCTCTTTGCCGGTGGAAAGAAACCCATTCGCCCAACCCGAGTCGCAGCTACCTCGCGCCAGAAATGGTCGGCCTCGCATTTGGCTGCCAGCGCCGGGTCAGGGTGGGCCCGAGCATGCAGCGCAACAGAAATGTCGACGGCCACGGGGTTCGGAAAACAACGGGAAGCGCCGCGTTCGCCCTCCGCGAGGAGGCAAACCATCATGACTTTTTGTGAATTCACCTGCTCTGCTTGACTGCCATGAAAGTCCTCGCCTCAGGCCCTCCTCCGGCACCGAGCTCGCCAGCCTCCTGCGCAACTCTCGCCAAGTGACCACATGCAGCCTCGGGCAGAAGCTGCGCGAACAAAAGCTTGGGTTGTGGCGCGAACGCGGGGGGCGCAATGGTAGTCGGTGCCAATTTTGCCCCGTGACCGCGCCGCGCGGTCCGAGAGCTCGCGCGCTCCTTCCTGCCAGCGCCATCGGCTCCGAAATCCCCCAAACCGCATTCTCCAGGGCCGCCGAGCTTGCCGAGCACGTCGCGAGCAATCGCCGTCGTCTGTCCGGTAGAAATGTGAATGTTCAGCTGGAGCGCCGCAAACAACAGAACATGCTCATTCTGCTATCTGCACCCAACTCTATGACCTTGTTCCTCCAAGTCCGTCGGAACAGTGACCAAGCATTCCCCACACATGTGCTGAGAGAGGTCGTCGATGTGCAATCCGCCGGCCCCCTTGTGGGGCCACCAGGCTGTAGGCGCGGGTTCGCAGTTTCCTGTGCCAGTTGTAGCTTGTAGTTTCCAGTGTTACTAGTTGACTTCTTGCTGGTTACTATAACTAGTTGATTGACCGCGCGAGGGGGGGGGAGGCCCAAACAGGATTTTTAGCCTCACCTGGGCGCGTTGTCTGAATTGCTGGGGGGGCTCGAAATCGACACCCCTCACGCAGATCCGCGGGGTCAGGGTCCAAAAACACATGGGATTTGCCACATTTCTGAAATTCGGTGCCACCCCTCACGCAGATCCGCGGGGTCAGGGTCCAAAAACACATGGGATTTGCACATTTCTGAAATTCGGTGCCACCCCTCACGCAGATCCGCGGGGTCAGGGTCCAAAAACACATGGGATTTGCCACATTTCTGAAATTCGGTGCCACCCCTCACGCAGATCCGCGGGGTCAGGGTCCAAAAACACAGGGATTTGCCACATTTCTGAAATTCGGTGCCACCCCTCACGCAGATCCGCGGGGTCAGGGTCCAAAAACACAGGGGATTTGCCACATTTCTGAAATTCGGTGCCACCCCTCACGCAGATCCGCGGGGTCAGGGTCCAAAAACACAGGGGATTTGCCACATTTCTGAAATTCGGTGCCACCCCTCACGCAGATCCGCGGGGTCAGGGTCCAAAAACACAGGGGATTTGCCACATTTCTGAAATTCGGTGCCACCCCTCACGCAGATCCGCGGGTCAGGGTCCAAAAACATAGGGGATTTGCTACATTTCTGAAATTCGGTGCCACCCCTCACGCAGATCCGCGGGGTCAGGGTCCAAAAACACATGGGATTTGCCACATTTCTGAAATTCAGTGCCACCCTTCACGCACATCCATCGCAAGGCGTGGTAACCCAAACTGCGAGAACTCCCTCGGCCCTTTAA